GCACAAAAGGATTTATAAGTAACGAGAGGTCCACTCCCTCCAACAATGATGCAGAACACAGTGTCTTTACATAAGACTGTCACTTCATGCTGTTTTTTCTTGCAATGCACAGTTTCCTTCTGTTGTGGTGTTGCCTTTGCAATAGTGAGTAGGGGCATCACTTCACAGCCTTATCTGCTGGCCTGAACTATTGAAACTTCACAGAAGCCTCTGCATCTACCTTGCAGTCGGTGCTGCCCTTGGCACACCTGGCAGTCTTGATTTCATGACTGTCCACACGAGGATATCATGAAACTCTTCTTGTGCCTGTGTGCTTAAGCTTTCCGTTGATGGAAAGTCAGGAGGGAAAACTAGGGGGCAGCGGGTAAGAAAAGGTAGAAGATAATTCATGATTGAGATCAGGAAACAGCCTGGGCACAAATCCTTACACAAGAGCTGGGAAGCACTCATGAGTCTTCCAGCTTTGAGTTAGCCCTCGCCTGCTCTACTGACACAGAATTGTTACGTGGAAAATTAATTGTGCCAGGCACTGAGCAGAACAGTAATGTGTGGAACAATCCACACTAAATAGATGCCTGTGAACTTCATGACATACAAAGTCCATTTTAGCCTTGGCATCTTTTCCAGACGCTGTAGCCACACATAATAAATTCCTGTATTGTCACCATAGAAAACAAAATGCTCTAAGAATATAACGTGGTGCTGGATATTCATTCTGTCTTGCTGATTCTCTAACAACTGCATTCAGCTTACAAGCACAGGGATAAATTCTGAAACCATCAACATTATAAACCTACTGGGATTTGAAACACAGTCATATTCCCTATATCTTTTAATATCATTAATATTTTCCATTTAAAGTAATTATGCAGCCAGAAAGGTCTTATTAACACTCAGAAGACAACCCAGGCCCCACTGGAAGGGGCACAGTTGAAGTGCACATGCATGGTAAGCCTTCCTTGGCTTTGTACAGGAAGGGAAAAAGATCTGGGGAAAGAGGAAAACTGCATTCTGCAAACACATGCACCAAGGCCAGGCTGACACAATTGCTTGCTGCCCCCTCTTCCTCTCGCAGCAGGCAACCACATCCAGTATAACAGTCCTTTAAAGCAGCTTCACAAAACACTTTCCCAATGATACATTTGATGAAGTTACATTAAATGAACTCATGAAAAAAATCTGTTTTAAAAAATGATCCTTGGAAAACTAGTACCATTTTACTGGAATTAGAAATTAAATAGGTCTCGCTTACACTCTCAGTTTGTTTATGCAGGTCTTTCTTGCTGTCAGCATCAGTACAGCTGAAAAACTGCCTTGTAATTACGCCTTGTAAATGGGACAGTCCATAAATTCTGTCTACTGTCACATTTTTCCCTATTCCTTCACTTAATATAAAAGTCAAACTGGCTGAGTGTACTTTTAAATTATAGCCATTAGTATTGAACAATAATATCCAAGAAAAGATGAAAGGAGACAAAAAGGACATTCTATAGTGCAAAAACATGTATTGTTGGCATTACACAAGAGACATTAGGGACAACAAGAGACATTAAGGATAATAAAAACTTCAGCATGCCCCTGCAGCTAGTGAGTAAAATGGAAATTAAAGGTTTATTTTTCATAGCCACAACAACACAAGGGTAGGTAGGGTCTTTGCAGCAAGCACACGCACTGGTCTTGTCCTCTGGATGCGTTCCAAGTTAGCAGGCATCACCATCAGAAACGCCAACTGGCTTTAGACTCTGTTATAATCCCAAGCAGTAATACAAGCACCTTCAGTGCTCCATCCATTAACAGTAACACGTGGACGAGCAACAGATATGGTAGCTACCCCAACTCTGTCATGTCGGAGACAGTAGTGGCCAAATGCCAGCAGGCTTATTTGTGTAGGAATTTGTTTAAGAATACTCTGTGGGAGGAAAAAATGGAGTGCTCTCAGTCACATGTGAAACATCTCTGCACTGTTCATGCCAGAAAACCGAAAATGAGATCCAAGTGCAAAGGGCTGCTAAGCCTTAGGTTAAAAAAAGCTAAAAAAGGCAGGCCCTTGTTAATGTGGACTGTGATAGTGATATACAAATCTAAAGGGGAAAAAATCTAATTATGGTTAAACACACTGTCTCCTCAGAGTGTATTCTATCACTACAAGAAATTATCACCAAAAAAAAAAAAACACACAAGAAGAGTAGAAAAGGCATTCATTCAACTGTGTAGAAGGTTATAATCTCTCTCCCTTCTCTCCATTAAAAACTGAATTTAAACCTGCTCCAGACCCAGCTTTGGAAAAAGGCAGGGTAGGAAGCAAGCAGTCACTAGTCAGGGGATAGAGTTTCCTGTCTCATGTTGGTTATTCAGCAGGGGAAGTATATGTGTGAATCAGCTGATTCAAATCATCTTGAGTTAAATATGAATAACATAAAAGAAGATAAGTGAGAAGAGGTAAATGGGCGGCAGATGAGAAGTAAAAAGGAAAATAATACTTGAAAGACAGAAAGGCAAAGGGGATAAAGAAACAGTGATAGAAATTGCCTTTTGTGCACAGGACTATTCATTATTCAATATGGAAGGACCCTGTCCCTTTTCTCAGAGGCTGCATTTGAGAAGTACACAAGGAGGTGTAGCAGAGTCTTATGCATTCATGAAAGATATAAAATACTAGCAAATGCTGCTCTTAAATGCTAGGGAAGTCATAGAACCTTATCAAAACTTACATTAAAACTGCATATTCCCACTTGCTTTTGCTCTTTATTGCTCTCTTTAGCCTATTTTACTCCTTTTCTTCTCCCATTCTTCATGGGTGATCTGGTGTAACAAAGAAGAGTCATTACTTAACCAGGTTGAAAGAAAAGTGAGCTTACATGCTCTTCTCTCTCCTATAACATCAGTAGTTTTCAGATGGGAATAAAATATGAATTGTAGCCAGCTCCCCTGTGTCCTACGCAGGATATGTTCTGTTGTTGAGTACACCTGGGACATGAAGTGGCTGTCCCCAGTGACAGAATCAAACAAACAAACACAGACGCTTCATTCAGATGGAGAAGAAAAGAGATGGAGATCCACTAATTATGAAAATCAGAAAATGCAAAAATATGAGAATTCATGTTGATGTGTTATGTGTGGTATGGGGCACTTTGAAACTGAATGTACCCAGCTAAAATGACAGCTTCTCGTTTAGTCTGCAGATCGGACCCACAGAAGGAATTGCATGCAGATGATTTAAATTAGAGGACATTATACTAGAACAATACACATTCGTTCTTAAGCAAATGTTAACTCCTGCCAAGCTGAATCTTGAGAAAAATCTATTTCCTTCTACTACTTTGGAAAAGAAGAGTATTTCTCTAGCATCTCATCTCAGAAAAAGTACAACCCAGGGAGTAAAGAAGCTGCTTGTTACATCCAAATTCCCTGATGTTTGCAAAAATGTGATGGCTTTTGAAAATTAAGAACCACTTGAACCTCATCCTTGAAACACTTCAGCTTTAGAGTTGGAATAAGCTCATACTATCAAAACTGACTGCTTTGCTTATATTTGGATAGTGTATTTGCTAGTGGGGAGAGGTTCCTAACACTATCATCAGCCGTGCTATGTCATACGTGCTGATTATCACCCGGGTCTGATCCCTGTCGACCTGGGGTTCAGAGCGATACTGACAATATGACAGCGCATTGCAGCACAATGCTGGTGCAAGTGAAAATGGAAATATATTTTTCCTAAAGCCCTTTAGATGAGTTTCAGAGATAATGTGTATTGGCCCCAGCCACTGAAAATGACTACCAGTTTTTGCAGTGACTATATTCAGCAGTGCAATCCGACAAGTACCGCAAGGGCTTTTGCTGCGAACATACAGAGAAAATTCAAAATACAATGTCCTTTCTTGCTTCGTTGACAATCCAGTTCCCAAATGCTGCCTGTGTGACTATTCACTAAAGCTCATTTTAAAGCTACACATTATCTGCAGATGTTACACTTTAAATGTGTCTCCAAGAGCTCATACATACCACCAAATAGAGCTAGAAAACATATTGCACAGACGACCTGACCCATTGCCACTCAAAAAAGCTAAATCCTATGCACACAAAATACAGCTGTAGTTTTGAAAAGCTAAGTATTTGCAGTGAAGTATTTGCACCCATATTCCATTTACTGAATAAGTTAAAGTAACAATGACATTCAGGGAAACTAAAATTCGATTGCTCAAGCCAATTAACTTCCCATTAATTGGATAATTCATTAGGATATACTTGTTTTGCTCTGTTCAGAGAGACAAGAGAAAAAAAAAAGGCACAGTGCAATGATTTGGACTGTGGCTAAAGATTTCAGCGTGACTGTATCCCATGCAATTTAGATTTATCCAACAGAATCATTCTTAAATCATTCAATTTAAAGCAGGCTTAAAGCAGGTTGCTGGCCAGTGACCTTAAAAATTACGTAATATTGGAGGCCTTCTCAAGACTTTGTCAGAGTCCAAATACCTTCTTCCCCTCCCCAAGACAGCCAAGCATTTAAACATAATCCCAGGAAATCCTGTTGCATTTACAGAAAATGCTGTCATCTCAACTTGCACTTTACAGTTCCCTCCAGATGTAGTTCGATGTTTCCAAATGAAGTCACTGGAAGTACAGGCATATTTGAAGGGCTGAAAAGTGCTCCTCTGATATCAAGTACCAAAAGGTATGAACAACACATGGCCTTTCAGCATTTTAGACTAAGAAGCTATCCCTTCAAGAAAAGGAGGAAGAGGAGTTGAGGTTGAAGAATTGCCAGTTTTGCTTAAACTGACCCTGAGCTTAAAACTTCCCATAATTTGCTTAGTCATGCTCAGCAGAGAAGATAGCCCCACTGCGTACTTCAGCTCTGCATCCCTCAGTGCCAGATGCAGTTAGATCTTTCAATTCAGTGGTTACCTGCATCTGATGCCCATGGGGTGGAGGAAGGCGGAGGCTGCAGCTCTGCAGCCCATCCCCGCAGCACCAGCCTAGATCTGCGATAAAGCCTGGGATTGAGGGGAAGCATTTTGCAAGAAGATCCAAGAGGGAACTCCCCTTCTATTAAAGAGCAAACCTTTCCCACACGACGTCCTGGCTCCTGCCCACACACGGTGCTTCTCTCCTGAAGCCCCAGACCTGGAGGGAACTGCCTTTCTGCGTCTCTTCAGGCCTCCAGAAGTTCTCCTCCCCCATTCTTGGCACTGACCCCAATCTGCAGCTGTTCCATAAAAATGCAACAGCTCCTCTTTCCCCACTCCTCCTCTAGCGCATCTCAGACAGTAACATGTGGATCCCTTCCCAGAAAGAAGATGCAGAAGCTAGAGGGATGTAAGCAGGGAAAACAGTTGTGCGATGGCTCCGCTCATACAGAGCCCTGTTCCAATGGGACATGGTTTGGCTGTACAGACACGAGCCATTTCCATGCAGCAGTGGTGCCAATAGCAGCAACCGGAGCCCTCTCCTAAACTCTGTGCACCCAAGAAAGGCTACAGAATCAAAGTCTGTCTTAGTCGGATAATTCCCATATTTCTGTGAAAGCAACTAGTCTCTTTCATCTCCCTTGCTTTTTCCATCTCGGAAAACCAAGGCTTTCCCTTAAGCATACAAAACTCCAAGGACATCTGTGAAGGATTTGGAGATGCCTGTAATTGGATATAAGATCTTTTTAATGTTTTTTTGATTACTGGAAGGCAATTTACTGTATGAATACATGTCGTAAAAATAAAAACATACTGCCTACATCAGGCAGGAAAGAACGTAATTAAGTTTCAAATAGCTCAGCCATTTACTTACCAGCCCTGAGAAGGGTTATCACATTTAGGAACCTTGGGCCCTCCAGAAGCTGTAAGGGGCCTGATCTCTCCCCTCATGATGATAAAGGTAGTAGGGCAATTCTCTAGTATAGGGCAAGAAACATTCATTTTGATGCAATGATGCTAAAGCCTCCAGAGGTCAGGCTGATCAGGTAAGCAAGCAGGAAAAACTTGTGGGGGACAGGCCATATGATTAGATTCGAAGGAACAGATGCTAAAGTAGTCAGAAAAGTTGTCAAGATGGACAGATTGCAGTCTCCCCTTCTCTCCATTCACAGTTTAGTGTGGCTGGTGCAATAGATGTCCTCCCAAACACTTTTTCTCTCTAGGGCATACAAACTCTTTTGGTCTCCTTCTCCTCCTAAAAGGGAAAGAAAAAATGCAACAAAGCCAGGAAAAACACGTGGGAAAGGGCAGCCTCAGCTATCCCATCGTGGCCAAACCACCCATGCCATCCCACAGTGACCAGGCTGCTTTGAACCTTGTCTGAACATGCGCTCCAAGGTCAGGTTAGACAGCACCTGGCCCAGAGGGAGGAGTCCCCACAGCGACTGTGCTGTGCTTCCTGCAGCCTGGTAGTGCTGCATTCCAGGAGCCAGGTGCCTGGGAGAAAGCAGGCATAGCTGGAACGGTTCTCCCAAGACAAAGCAAGAGCAAGAGGCCCAGGGAGCTTAAAGAAATGGAGCAAACGTCCTCCCACTCATCCTCAGGCTCTTCTGGACGTTAGACCTACCAGCACCACCGCCTGCCAGAAGCCAGGGTGATGACAGGAGGCCAAAATGCTTTGCCCCTGGATGATAAACAGCTCTCAGAGGCTATCCTGGGGATTACCAGAAATAAATTGGTGCAAGAAAAGCTAACGGGGTAAGCAATGGCAGGAAAGAGCAACTGCATCACCACCACTATTTCAGCTCGCCAAGTACAGTTTTTCCCCTCCTCCACATTTTTTCCCCTCTCACACTTTTTTATTGCACATCAGGATGCAGGTGTGATGGAAAGGAAAGTGCTGGAGGAGAACTCTGGTCGGCTCTTAACAATAGTTTAATCTATGTGACAAGCCCTTCCCTCAGGCTCTGCCCTGCTAAAAATAATCATCTCTGGAGCTTTTCATGGGAGCTTAGCTTTAAGACTGTGGGATTGGTGCTATATTTCCTTCTTCAGCCAAACATTTTTCTTTCGTCAGGTAGCAGAACTAGTTCTTTCTGCCTTGCACCATCCCTAGGTTTCATAAGCAGCCTGATACTAAACATGATGAAGCTCCTTGTGAACCACGTGCTGGTTTCTGAGTGAGACAGCGGTCAGCTCTTCATTCCTCGGTGCTGATAGGATTTCTTCTTCATTTTACCACTCCAGGCATAGTCACATTAGTCAAACCAGGCATGTTGCCAAGCTCCAAGTACTCTACAAACAGGCAGAAGAAGCTTTCCCAGGAGCCCTGCAGATGTGCGTGCTGGGCTCCTGTTCCGAGAGGGTACTCCTGTTGCTGAGCACACACTCCCAGGAGCCTCATTGCACTGCAGAAAGTTTTTGTGAGCACATCTGTTCACCTATGGTCCTAAAGTGTTCAAGATATTGTGGAAAATACCAAGTTCATAGCCAAAGTTATTTATGTGAAGCTTCTGTAAGGGGCCTTATTGCACATTGACTGCAGTTTAGAAATGTGTCAATGAAACTCAACAAGGCCAAGTGCAAGGTTCTGCACCTGGGGAGGAATAACCCCAGACACCAGTACAGGCTGAGGACTGACCTTCTGGAGAGCAGCTCTGTAGAGAAAGACCTGGGTGTCATGGTGGACGACAAGTTGACCATGAGGCAGCAGTGTGCCCTCGTGGCCAAGAAGGCCAATGGGATCCTGTAGTGCATTAAGAGCGCCTCCAGCAAGTCGAGGGAGGTGATCCTGCCCCTCAGCCCTGGTGAGGCCGCATCTGGAGTATTGTGTCCAGTTCTGGGCCCCACAGTACAAGAGGGATGTGGAGCTGCTGGAGAGAGTCCAGCGCAGGGCTACAAGGATGATCAGGGGCCTGGAACATCAGCCCTATGAGGAGAGGCTGAAGGATCTGGGCCTGTTCAGCCTGGAGAAGAGAAGGCTGAGAGGGGACCTGAGCAGTGTCTA